ATCTATTGGTGGGGAGCTACACCTGCTGGAAATCGGGTCTAGCTTCCCTATACAAATATGAAAATATATCTGCTGGAAACCAGGTCCAAATAGATGGTGTGAATGTATGTGCTGGAAAACAGGTCCAGCATCCCTGCCCATCTGATCTACAGAACCTCGCCAACAGACTGAGACATCAATCCTATCAGGCGAAACCCTAATCATGATGTAATGTGTATTACACTAATGTGATTTATATTTGCTGGAAATAGGGCCCAACATCCCTATACCATGTTGTGTTCTGTATCCAACAGTCAGGAGCTGCCCATATATGTCTTTATTCTATATCTATCAAACTATAAACCCGAAACCAAAGCTCAATATGATGTAGATGATCTTTGTCAAACATAACTAAAAAACAGAGCTCTATCAATAGTGAGAGACATATGATGTGAACGACAAGTCCAGCAACCAATATGCATTATCATGTGAAACGAACAGGGGGCATTGATCACTTTCCTGCGCAGGGAAGGATTGACCTCCTGCCAACTCAGCCCACCGCCAGGCAACGGGACGAACAACATGATTGAGAGATGAGGGCATGAGGGTTGAGAGTCAGTCATCCTAATGGACGAAGGGGAGGTCATCTATCCTACGCCCACCCGGTGCCACAAAATGAAAGACGAATCAACATGATGAAACACCGGGTAGGACTGGGAAGGATCGGTAATTCTCACCTTCAACCACAACTCCCACCTCGCCAGCCCAACCAAGCTGTTAGCTGCCCCCCACTACCTCAGGCTGGTGCTGTAGTTGTTATTAGCTTTAGTTTTTCTGCTATCGTTGTGGCGACGCTGGGCATCACCGTTGTTGTTGTTGTCACCACCGCCATTGCCATTAGCCCCCCCAATTCCACCCCGCACTCATCTGCCTCGTCAGGGGCATCTTCCCTTGCCATGGCCGCCGATGGCGTGATGAGGATAGGCACCACCGTCGGCATCAATCATTGTTGTTGTTGCTTGTGTTGTTGTTGTTGTTGGTGTTTTCGCTGTTGGCATCTCCGCCGCTTCGACGTCGACCGCTGTTGTTGTTACTGTTGTTGATGTTGTTGTTGTTGTTGTTGATGTCATTCAACTTGCTGTATTAGTTCCTGTATTTGCCCTTACCGTCACCGCCTCTGCTGCCGTCGTTGCCAGTAGCCCCAACTCCACTTCCCCCTCTCCTGCCTCATCGAAGGCATGTTTCCGCTCATCTCCGACAGCAGCCCTCTTTGCCATGACCTGATAAGAAAGCGACATCAGGTCAACCCACCACTCACCATCTCCCCCCTTATACTCGTCACTATCAATCATGGCATCTCTATGATTCGTCACCCTTTCTTCTCTCAATTCCGCCATCATGTTGTTGTTGTTGTTGTCGGCGTGGTCGTCGTTGTTGTTCTCGCCATCGTTGTTGATGTTAGTGTCAACCTTCACATCCCCTTTGCCCATTTCGCCCAATCCCAATCCCTGCGCACCATCGTTTTTGTTGTTGTTGCTGTAGTTGATATTGTTGTTGTTGTTGTTGTTGTTGACGTCTCCATTATCTTCCGCGTCCACCTGCTGTATCTCTCCCATCGTGCTGCAACCGTGGACGTCGCCCCCCCCATCATTGTTATTGTTGACCCCGTCCCTATCGTTGATGTCGCTGTAACTGATGTTTTTGCTGCAATCATCTTCATCTGCCAGCAGTCCATGTCGATACTCCAACTGATTGCACAAATCTCGCCCCAATGTGAAGAGGGTTCTGCAAGCAGCCAACCTGTCATCCGCCCGCCTCCAGTCGATGTAGCCACGGAGCCGGGGATCCGGCCCATCCTCCAGCTCCCACAAGATATCTAACAACTCCTGAATCCTATCTTCCAACCACTGTTCCATCGAAATCGCTCCCCCATCGATCTTCCCCCCTTCGTGTTGCCGATGCATAAGCAGCCCCACTATCGTCTGCATCTGCTTGCATCCCTCCTCCAGTGTGGTAATCCATTCTTCTGCTTGTTGTTGTAGCTTCCCCACCCAATCATCTCTCCCCCCATTAACTGCGCCACTCACTCAGTTCTACTCCTTGTAGTCCCACGGCTGGTGCTACCCCTGCTGATGTGTCATGGAACGTCAATTGTCACCAAACAACAGGCGCCACGTGGCAGCGGGCCACCTTGCACCTATCCCAGGCCCAGCAGCCGGGGAGCTGTTCTCCCCAGGCGCTAGTCGAGCCGGGGTGACCGGGCCCTACCGGTCCGCTGGCGTCGGGGCGCTAGCGCTAGCGCAGCTCCGTTCCTCGTCACGACTTTCCCCACTTTTTTTTTTCCTTTTCTTTTTTTTTTGGAAAAAGGAGTAATCATTCACACCACCCCGGTGTCCCTCAAACGGGTTGAACTTCTGCACAGACCCAAAAAAAAAAAAAAAAAAAAAAAAAAAAGACCAACTCTTACACACCGTTCAGACCGAATCAGGGGTTCTGGGAACCGGGCCCAGCGTAGCGAGGCCCATAGAATGGAGCACCTTGTCCAGGGATTACTGTGGGAACATGCTCATGCTACTTACTGCCCATAGCAGTAGCCCCAGCCCCTCCCTGTAGCCCAACCCAGCTTCGCACCCGTCACAGACTCACAGCTATGGCTACCGAAAGGGCAAAGACCCCTCTGGCTACAGCTTTATAGCTAATTAGTGATGGGTATCGCATTGGCAGGCAATCAGTGATGACGTGGCCAATCTAATCTGTACCCAGGTATGCACACGTGAATGGGAGGACGTGGTCATCTCCAGACCAGAAGCCTAATATGCGTGAGTTAAACTTTTTTTTTTTTTTTTTTTGGAAGACAAATTTATTTATTACAGCCTGGGAACCGGCCCCAACGTCCCTCACATCAGTGGACGTCATCACTGATTGCCTGCCAATGCCATACCAATCACTAGTTAGCTATACCAGCACCCCTAGCTGCCGCTTGGCTGATCTTAAAAAGAAAAAAGAAAAAAAAAAAAGCTATAAAGCTGTAGCCAGAGAGGTCTTTGCCCGGAAGCACCCCTTGGCATGCCCTTATTTGAGAGTTATTGGCACGCGGCGCTACGCTGCGGACGGAGCGACAGGCTCGCCTCGGCGCCGCAGCAACGAGGCACGGCCCCCGGTGCTACTCCGGCACCTGAGGATCGCCCCTCGGATACGTGGCTCTGCCCCTGCATTTCGCAGTGACGGCCATAGCTCGGCCTGGACAGAGCGGTATGAGTAGCCGAAGGAGACGAAGCGACGACAACGGATGACAGATGCGACTTGGTGGAAGGAAGCAAGCGACCGGCGGAAGAACAAGCGTTGCAAAGAGGAAGAAACATAACCAACGGAGAGGACGTGACAACAAGGCGAGAGAGGAGGACCGGACAAACAAAAGTGAAGGTGGTAGAAGGGGGAAGGAGA